GGAATTGACGGATGACCCACTGAGATGTTTCAACAAACAGATGCCAAGAAATTTGGAAGACAGCTACATGGCCAGTTGACTGGATAAGATCCATATTTGTACTCATTCCAAAGAAAGGTGATCCCACAGAATGTGGAAATTATCAAACAATATCATTAATATCACACACAAGTAAAATCTTGCTAAAGATAATTCTAAAATAGTTGCAGCAATATATTGACAGATAACTTCCAGAATTTCAAGCTGGATTCAGATGTGAACTGAGGGATATCATTGCTGATGTCAGATGCATCTTGGTTGAAAGCAAAGAATACCAGAAAGATGTTTGCTTGTGTTTTATTAACTATGCAAAAGCATTCGATTGTGTGGATCATAACAAATTATGTTAACATTGAAAAGAATGGGAATTGTGGTAGTTCAGTTTGTGTGTCAACTTGGCTGGGTCTGGTTGAATGGCTGGGCAGGTGGATGTTGTATTCCCCATGATGAGACTGGTAATCAACTCCATGGTGGAATCTATTGTGACCAACTGAGCAACTGCCTTAGGGAATGTGGTCTGCTTCCTGTATGTAAGCAGAAGCCTTGGGAATGGTCTCTAGCTTATGGCACACTCGGACCCTGCATGTAGCCATGTCATTGTTCAGCAGCCTGCCATGCTCCGCTGACCTTGGGACTTACAATGGACTTGAATTAATGGCCTGCTATGTGGTTTGGTAACATTGGACTGTGCTTTTACTTGTCAACTTTGGGCTTCTCAGCCTCAGCAGCCAGTAGCTGTCTGAGTCACGAAACACTGCTAGCTCCAGTAGGCTGGGAGCAGGAGGTAGAGCTGGACCCCGAGGTTGAGGGGCTTTCACCCAGCCCCTAGCGCCTGGCACTTTGAACTTGGACTTAAAGCCTTCAAACTGTAAGAGAATAAACTCGTTTGTTAAGGCTATCCCATTTATGGTACATTCCTGTCAGAGCAGCACTAGGTAACCAGAACAGGAATTCTAGAACAAATGATTGTGCTCATCAGGAACCTGCACATAGACTAGGAGGCTGTCATTCAAACAGAACAAGGGGATACTGCATGGTTTAAAATCAGGAAGGGAGTGCGTCCGAGTTGTATCCTTTCACCATACTTATTCAATCTACAAATAACCCAAGAAGCTGGACCATATGAAGAACATGGCATCAGGATTGGAGGAAGACTCATTAATAACCTGTGATACACAGATGACACAACTTTGCTTGCTGAAAGTGAGGATAACTTGAAGCACTTACTGAAAATTAAAGACTATAGTCTGCAGTATGGATTATATCTCAACATAAAGACAATGAAAATTCTCACAACTGGACCAATAAACAGCATCACAATAAATGTAGAAAAGATTGAAGTTGTCAAAGATTTCATATTACTTGGTTCCATGATCAACACTGATGGAACTGGCAGCAGCAGTCAAGACATCAGACTATGTATTGCACTGGGTAAACGTGCTGCTAAAGACCTCTTTTAAAGTGCTGAAGTGCAAAGATGTCTCCTTGAAGACTAAGGTGCACCTAACCCAAGCCAAGGTATTTTCAATTGCCTCATATGCACGTGAGACAATGAACAATGAAGACAAAAGAAGAGTTGATGCTTTTGAGTTGTGCTGTTGTCAAAGAATACTTAAAGTATCATAGACTGCCAAAAGAATGAATAAATCTGTCCTGGAAGAAGTGCAGCCAGAATGCTCCTTGGAAGCGAGAATGACCAGACTTCACCTCACCTACTTCAGTCACGTTGTCAGAAGGGAGCATTCCTGGGAGAAGGTTATCAAGCTTGGTAAAGTGGAGGGTCAGCAAAGAAGGGGAAGGCTCTCAATGAGATGGACTGACACAGTGGCTGCAATGATGGGCTCAGGTATAGCAAGGATTGTGAGGCTGGCACAGGACGAGGCAGTGTTTCATTCTGTTGTACACAGAGTCACTATGAGTTGGAGCTGATTCGATGGCACCTAACAACACAAGTGCCAAAGGAGAAGCTCTGGTGGCACAGTGGTTAAAGCATTCAGCTGTTAACCAAAAGGTTGGCCATTCGAACTCCCCAGCCACTCCATGGGAGAAAAATGAGGCAGTCTGTTTCTGTAAGATTTAGTCCTGGAAACCCTATGGGCAGTTCTACTCTGTCCTATAAGGTTGCTGTGAGTCAGAACAGACTCAATGGCAGTGGGTTTGGCTTATTTGGCAAGTGCCAAAAATCAATTTGACAATAGTATTAGCAAGAGGCACTCTCATAAATTATTGCTGGAACTGGATGCCAGTATGTCTGGAGGACTATATTGATCAAAATGCTAAATGCATATATCATTTGAGCCAAGAATTGACTTTTAGGAACTTTTCCTATCAAACATCTGCACACATACTGAACTGGCTACCAATAAAGCACTAGTTTAAAGAACTTATGCTATTTCCATATAATGGAATACCATGTAGACATTAAAAATGAGCTGGTTCTGCTATGGTATGAGCTCTAAAAGTTGCAAAACACTGTGCATAGCAAACTACCATTTGTGCAAGGAAAAGGGTGGAAAGAATATACATAGTAGTACATCTATAGATGCTCTCTCTGGAAGGAGACACAAGAAACAGGTTCCAGGAAATAAGGCTCAGATGAGGAAGTCTAATTTTGACTTTTGTATGATCAGATGTAACAAGTACATTTGAAAACAGAAAGCATGAGGGGTGGGGATGGGGGGAACACAATGCACTCTCAGATATAGCAGTTTTCAACATCAGTTGCTCATTTCACAAACAGCCAGGCCCCATTAGAGGGCAGTCAACTGGCCTGGGATGGGATCCTGGGTATCACTGTTTTTTTTTAAATTCTCCCAAGATGATTCTAATTTGCAGACAAGGTTATGAAGCACTGATTTAGACCAGGGGATGGCAAACATCTTTGTAAAGGACCAGTTAGCAAATACTTTAGGCTTTGTCACTATGGTGGTAAAGTGTGTCCCCACATAAGGTCTCTCTCGTATTTTTTTCCCCCTAGGTCCTTTAAATATGTAAAAACCATTCTCAGCTCCTAGGCAATACAGGCAATACAAAAACAAGCCATAGGCCAACCCACACTTTAGACTACGCAGAGATTGGAATATAGCCTGGAAGACACAAAGAGACAAGATGTGGCTAAGAAGAGCTGCCGAGCTGCCACCAAGAAGCCTCTACAGTGAACTTCCCAGATCTGGACCTCAACCCCCAAGTTACTCCGGTCTGAGTGACAGGCAGGATGGATATGGACTCACTTGCAATAATAATCCCAAAGACACATTGTAAACCAGCTGGTTTTATTTTATGTTAAGATGTATGTAACTTTCCCCATGCAGACTGAAGTGACTATGTTAGCACATGCAGTGCATTTTCTTCCTAGAATCAGTTATGTGGACATCCAGGTTACTGCCAGATTAGTGAACACTGAATCCAAACCAGTGGAGACTAACCCAAAAACCTACATCTCATCCATGAGAGCTTGGGACATACTTTCCCATCACAGGGACAGCCCAGCCTCCACAGAGCTCACTGATTCTTCCTTCCCCACCTGCTGAATAAGCACTGCCAACAGTGAACTCTTTCAGCCTTACTGTCAGCAGCTGACCCTAGGTGTCATTATCTCTGTTTACTGGTTTTTATCATTAAGCCCAACGTTACTGACATCTTAGGTTCTTAAGGCGGCATGTGAATTGCTCCATGTACCAACTACCAGACACAATAATCTTGTTAGAATGCTTTTCAAACTCTACTATACTCAAGTTTTACCGGCTAATATACTTTACAAAGGTAACTTCCATGTCCATTAGTACATATATAAGTTACTTATAAACTCAACTAATGTAACCTAATTCCTACCAAGGACTGAGATTTTTAATTAAAGATAGTTGCGGTTTGCTGCCTCCCTTCATTCTTGACCAGTGATTCCCAACCATTTCAGAGTCAATAAAACTAACTTTGTGTTACAACTGCTACCAAGACGGAAATCCCAAGTAACATGTATTTTTCAGATTAAATTAACATTATTTTGTTCTCTAAATGTAAAAATAAATGAGAAAATGCAATCTTCAATATTTTAAAAGCTTCTCTGGGAATCAGTGATTTAAATTATAACATTAAAGAACTTAGTACTAGTTTTAAGGGTCATCAAAAAGTGTCTTTCAACAACAGAAAAGTTCATGCTTAAAAAAAAAAAACCAAAATACCTATTATAAACTTTATGTAATTGTGACAAAATTACAGACTACAAATTATCGACTGAGCCGTTCCCAGTTTTGCCTGTAACAGAACTGTGAATTTTATCCTAAAAACGTAGGTAGGTCCATGGTTGACCGAAAACGTCAGCCCCAGACCCAGTGAATGAGAACGACAACACGATGCACACAAACACACGTACAAACAAGCCCTTCTGGCCCCACCAGGGCTGTGAGGGGGTACAATGCACACCTGGCACACAAACACACATACAAACAAGCCCTCCTTGAACTGCCCCCACCAGGGCTGTGAGGGGGTACAAAGGATGAAATGTGAATCATGTAGGAAAAATTCTCCTTCAAGTAGATTATAAAAACCCATACATGCCACCTTTATTGTTTCAGGCAACAGCCAAAATTTAATCGAGTGGGAACCTGCCTCTGAAAATTACAACAAAAACCAATAGGAAGTAATTTAATATAAAATATACAAATGTCTCAGTTTGAGGACTTCCACAGTACAGGCAGAAAGGGGTAATAGTCAAAGCAAATTTTCTTAAAAATTAACACTCTCCTCCTTAGTATGTCCCTGCTACTCAACACTCAAAAACAAATCTGTACAAAATGAGGAACACAGAAAGGGACCAGAGAGGATGTTACGCTGCAAAGTCTTAGTATCTATTCTAAGCTGCTGTCTTCACTTAGACCTTCCCTGAAGAGACTGAGGGTTCCAAGTCCACTGAGGAAGGTGAGTGATCCTGGAGCATCACCCCTGCTTCACCTCAAATGGCCCCGTCACTCACTGTCAAACTTAATGGAATTGACCTGGACAGAGATGGCACCTCCCCGGTAGCTGCCCCGCTTCTTCTTGGTTTTCTCATGCCGGAAGGATTTGCCTTTGGTGAACTTCAGAACCTGATTGGCTCGTTCCCCCCAGTCTCCAGCTGCACCTCGCTGGTAGGGAGAGAGAGGTGGTGACCACCCAGAAGCCCAACACCAGAGCCCTGTCACCTTCTTCGCTTTCTACTCCCTGCTCAAGGCAGCCTGATCCCAGAGAGCTGCCCACCACCCTAACCCAAAAGCTGTCCTCTCTCCCACTGTTCCACCCTCAAGAGTTAACAGCACTCTCTCCTCACCTTGGCATCAAAGGAGTTGTCTGCCATTCGCGCATCCACCTCAATTTCCTCTTCCCTTACTCTTCGAAATGGGGATGATGCCCTCTTCTCACCCTAGAGAAGAATACAGTAGGGAAATTAGAGGGAGTGGTCACACAACAGAAGAGCCCTCCTGAGCTGCACACATGTGCACATGTACCAGGTCAAGCAGAGGGCGTCAAGACGAGTGCCAGAAGATGAAGTGGGAGAGTGGTATGGAATAAAACTCAGAATCATTAGGAAAAAAAAAAGGGAAACCAGGTGGAACCCCTGAGACTGTGGCCCCTAGCTGCTCTTCAGTCTGGAAATTGAACCTACTCCTGTGGCTTCCAGCCAATCAAAACACAGGCACAAGAGCTGAACATTTACATTAGGTAGATACACTCCCTGGAGAATAGAAGGGCTGTGTATGCACAGGGAGACAGCTTGGGGGGCAGGAATGCATGGAGGGAAGGACACAGGGAAGAGGGAACTATGGGCAGGAAGTGGGAGGGGCACTGTAAACTGCAGTCAATGTCATGAAACAAAGTGTATGTGAGCTGCTGTATGGAAAGTTAGTTTGCTCTGTCAACTTTCACCCAAATCACAATAAAAATTAAAAAAAAAAAAAAAAAGATGAGTGTCAGATTTTTCCCTCTCCTCACAAAGCACTGCCTCCTGAGAAGAAACTGAAGACAACTTACTTTCTTCCTTTTTGGAAAGGTGTTGGGGGTCTGGAGCTTTGGCTTTTTGACTTGAGGAGTCTCTGCCTCCTTGGGAGCCTCACTCTGCTTCCGTTTCTTTCCTGACTCAAAAAAATGAAAAGTTAGGCTCAGGAGCAGTTTCCTCTCTTCCTCCCAGTTTCCCATGCTGAAGGGCTACATAACTTGAAGTTAGTGGTGGGTATTCTCTCCCTATCGCAGCCTCTAGGACTATATCCCATCCTAACTGTGAGGGGTAAAACCCAGAGGGCACGTTCTTTACATACAGACCTGGCTTGGAAAGTTGCACTGCACCCTCTTTCTCATTGTGGCCTCCGCCTGTTTTTCCATTCTGGACAGTTAGTGAAGAGGTGCCATTGGCCTTGGGGGTTTGCGGTTTTGAAGTGGTTTTGCCCTTGGCCTTCTCCTCCTCCTCCTCCTCACTGGAGTCATCAGAGGAAGAACTGCTGCTGCTCTCAGCCTCTACTTCCTTTTTGGAGGCTGGCTTAGAAGGGGCTACAGCTGCTGCTGCCTTCTGCAGCATCCTTTTCACTGGGGGTTTAGATGTCTTCTCTTCCTCTTCCTCCTCCTCCTCACTGCTGGAGCTGTCAGAATCAGAACTGCTATCCTCACCCCCCTGAGGGACCTTTTTGGCAGGCAGAGATGAAGCTGCTTTAGCCGTCACCTTGGACTTGGGGGTGGCCACAGTCTTCTTTGTCATCTCCTCATCCTCCTCTTCGCTAGAGCTGCTCTCCTCCTCACTGGAGCTGCTATCAGCCTTTCTGGGCAGAGGCTTCTGGCCACTGCCTGCAGGTTGCTTGGGAGTTGCACCCGCCTTAGCTGCAGGTTTTTTGGTAACAGCAGCTGGCTTACTGGAGGGCGTTTTGGTGGCACTAGCCGGCTTGGCAGGAGCTTCATCCTCAGAGCTGTCAGAGTCTAGACACAAAGGAAACAGAATGAGAAACTCCCCAAAGCAGATTCAGGGAGGTCCTTGTAGCAGCTGCCCAAGGGAGTAGGTATCCCACTGCTAACTATTCACCTGTCTTACCTGAGCTTTCTGAAGAACTCTCCGCCGTCTTCTTTGCTGGAGTGGGTTTAGGGGTTGCTTTAGAGATGGCTGCTTTAGCTAGGGGTTTCTTTTCTTCCTCAGAACTTGAATCTGGGTAGAACATGTGGCATTATACTGGGCCCAGACCTCTGACCCAACCCGCAGAGCAAGAATGAGGAGGACACAGAAACACATGCCAAGCCTTAGCTCGGCCTTGCTTCAGTGAAAAGCAACAGAGGCACCAAAGCAGTTCTCCATTCCTGACTGCTTATACCCTCTCCTGGCCCATTTTCAGGGGGGACATTGCATCCCTCAGACTCACCAGACTCATCGCTGCTGTCCTCACTGCTTTCTTCGGGCTGTTTCTTCTCTGCAGATTTCTTGAGGGGCTGGGTCACCGGGGACTTCTTTGGTAGGGGAGCAGCAGGTGGGGGGACCGAACTATAGGGACCTGTTTAAGAAGAACAGTGTGGTGGTTTAACAATATGTCCACAAAGTCTTTGCTACTGGCTCCCTTCTACAGGTGTACCTTCATTCCCCTTCCCTTGAGTGTGGGTAAGAGTTAGCAAATCTCTTCTAATGTACAGAACATGACCGAGTGGTGGTGGGTCCAAGACTGGGACATAAAAGGTACTATGACTTCTTCTGTGCTCTTTCTTAGAGAAAGAAACCTGGGCTGGGAGAAGTCAGCTGTCATGTCATGGGAACACTCCAGCAACTCTATGAAGTCTGCACGGTGACTGCAGAGGTTCTTCTGCAACCGGGCTCTGCCCAGTCGTGCAGCTTGACTCCCCATGTCCAATCACCTGGTTTTTTCTTTATGGGTTTCTTCGGCTCCTCCTCCTCACTGGAGGAGTCTTCACTGCTGGAACTGCTTTGGGCAGGGGTGGCGGCAGCTTTCACTGGGACCTTGGCCACAACTTGCTTTGTAGGTACAGCCTGTGTCAGAGAGAGAATCGATTACCTCACGAAAACACTGAGACCCAACTTAACCTGCCCGGGAACAAAGAGTCACACCCCCCACCCCGCACCCCTTCTCTGGTCAGTTACAGTGCAGACCTTCTGAGGGATGGCTGCTGCCTTCTCATCCTCGGAGTCATCGCTGCTGCTGCTACGGCTGCTGCTGCTGCTTCTGTTACTGCTGGCTGCCTTGCCATTGGCTGCTTTAGGTGCTGCTGGAGCCTGTGTTCCTAGAGGAACAGAGAGCGCAAGGTGTAATAAGGAAGTCAGAGAACCAGGAAAACCCTCCCTCCAGTTTGCTCAGAAACAGGTATAATTTTGTTTCCAAATACACTCTTCATTGCTGCAGTGATGACTTCTGTTTACTAACCTCTAATTATGAAACCTTATTCCCCAAGTAATAAAAAGCTTCATTAAAAAAAAAAGGGACAATTATCAATTCCAGCTCAATAACCAGTACCACTCCACTCATGCATTTAATGAACCTAACGAACACCACTTTCCAGAGCACCTGGTCCCCAGCCCAGCGTCCTGGAGGGAAACTGTACCTGGCCTGGCTGTGGCTTTGGCCTGAGCTTTAGCTGCCACAGGTGTTGTCTTCAGCTTCTGGTTCTTTGGGGCTTCATCCTCTGAGCTCGAATCAGAATCAGAACCAGAGCTTTCAGCTTTCTTGGGGGGAGCTTTGGCTGCCTTGGCTTGGGGCTTAACTCCCTTCTGTAAGAAAACACACAAAAAGAGAATCAGCAAGAGCTCCTGGGTACTCAAAGGGCACCCCAGTGTAGAAGGCATTCTAGGCCCCTGTTCTTTCTTTAGGGAGTAATTGAATAGCAAGAAAAGAAAGCAAGCTAAGCAGAACAGCAGATGAAAATGGCAACAAACACTTAATGAGAAGCAAAAAGTTCAGCCACTTGATATATTGGTTCTGTCTTTGCCATTCCCTGCCAAGAAAACACACTCTTACTCTCAGACCCCCAGACGGTGTCCTAGAAAAGCAAAACGGGTTGAATTTCCTCTACATCTGAAGCCCCACTTCACCCTCACACATCCCCTCCTAGCCTCTACCCCTACTATCTCTCAGACAGTCCCCAGGTTGTCTTTTCCAGTCATCTGTCCTGCACCTACCACCACCCTTGGTGTCATAAGCTGTAACTTAAGAATTTAGGTTTCTTTCTTTCCAATTCCATAAGCAACCGCTTCCCTTCCCAGAACTGTAAACCTGGACAGGTTTTTTCTTTTTGTCCTCCTCTTCCTCCTCCTCATCACTGGATTCTTCACTGCTGCTGCTCTCTGATGCTTTGGCTGCAGCCTTTCCAGGATGCTGAGGCAGACTGGCCCGCTTGACAGCAACTGCTAAACAACAGCACAGGCCCCCAGTAAGAGTTAGCAATGTGTACAGACAGGCTACAAATTCTTTTCCTGGAACCACTCCTTTAAGCCCCCATGCTCTGCCTTACCAGCCTTCTTAGCTGGAGGAACTTGTTTTTTTTCCTCCTCACTGCTGTCCTCACTGCTGTCACTGGATGAAGACTTCTTCTTAGCCTTCTGAATTACTGGCCCGTTTGCCTGTGACTTCCGCTTTGGGGCCTTGGTAGACCTGCTAAAGTAGATAATGCTAACTTCTGGGGTATCAGGAGTTTCCTAAACCAAGTAACACAGCCCAGACTACCCCGAGGAAGAATAAAGCCAATGTGGAACAGGGAAGGCTTACTTGAGCCAGAAACTGTAGATGTCCAAGAGAGAAGAGGCGTTGGCATCCTGATGGGTCTGTAGAAGAAAAGAGGAAGAGCTAGGGAAGGGAGTTTTAACCTAGGAAAGATCAGCTGTTGCATTATTCTACTTGTAAATGCTACCTACCAATCCTGAAACTAAATATGGCATTAACGTTACACTTTCATGAAACTTGTGCTTGCACAAATTTGCAGTAAACATTTCTGTTTGCATACTCCCCAGTCTGTGGTCCCCAAAATTTAGGCTACTTCTGTGGTTTGTAGCACCACCTGTCCTCAGCCTGTTTATTCATAATTATCAAAACCTTAAAACACATGCATTCCTACTTACGTTAATGAGCAAGGAACAACTTTGAAAACAAATGCAACAATGGCTGCACCACTTGAAGAATGTAATCACTGTCACTGAAACGTACATGTAAAAACTGTTGAACTGGTGCATGTCTTGCTATGTATATTGTAATCATTAACAAAACAAACAAAATTTAGGAAAACAAGACAACATGCATTCCCTTTACTCTGGCAATGTGTTATTTACTAATTTATCCCTACCCATGAAACAAGGGCATAAACATTTATACAAGAAGGTTTTTACTACAAGGTGGCTTGTACTACCAAATCACTAGAAACAAGCCCCTAAAAGAAAACTGATAAATAAGCTACATTATGTAAAGAGTATAGCATGGCATTTGCTATTAATAATACTGGTTTAAAAAAGTATCCAGTGCCATTGGGTCAATTCAGACTTGTAGCTACAGACCCTATGGACACAGCAGAATTTCCCCTACAGGGTTTCCAAACCTGTAATCTTTACAGGTGCACACTGCCACATCGTTTTCTGGCAGATGGGTTCCAACTGCCAGTGTCGGTGAGCAGCCACACACTTAACCACAGCACCACAAAGGTTCCTTAATAATACAGATACAGATTATTAATGGGTGCAAACAATGGTACGGCATTATAACACACAAGACTGCAGACTAAGGTGGGAGGAAGTGAGAGGGGAACTGCTGCATTGTGGTGAGCTGTTGTATGGAAAGTGAATTTGCTCTGTAAATTTTCACCCAAATCACAATTAAAAAAAAAAAGACTGCAGACTAAGTCAGATGAGTAGATGTGAAACCCACTTCTGCCAGTTAATTATTGTATGGTCCTGAACATAGCACTTCATCTCTAAGCCAGTTTTCTTCTTTATAAAAGGGAAATACTACATATCCCATCAAGTTGTTGATAGGATAAGAGATAATGCATGTAAAAGGATTAGTATATGAAGCTTATAAACTCCACATAGTTTTTGTCTCATGAGACCAAAGAAGTCTAACTCTGAAAGACCCAATTCCATCCAACCCATTCTAGAAACATTCTCTGCAGTCTAAGAGTCCATTAAAAACCTTCCCAATTTAAAAAAATAAAAAAAGGAGTTTTATCAGCTCGAAGGGCAGGTTGTTGTCCCAGCTTAAGGAAGTTCTTTCTGAGGTTGATCTAAACACCTCCTTTCAAAGAGATTCTGCTACAAAGAACAAGCCTGTCATGTTACTGTACGTGGTAAAGACTTCCTTTACCCCTTCTCCCCGGTAGTCCTGTTTTCTCCCTTCATTGAGCGTAGGTTCCAAACCTGTTATCTTATACATATTTGGAGCTTCCTAAATTACCGTAACTATAGCTACAGTTTTTTACTCGATGTTTTCTGTACGTCAGGCACTGGAATTGCTACTTTGTATATATCTTACCGAGGTGGATGGCGTAGAAGTAGAAATACTCAGAGATTAAGCAAACCACCCAGATGTTAGAGCCTGGTGTCAAACCTAGCTGTATTTGATTCCATAAGCCAAAACTCCAAACCCACTGCTACGCTTGCTGGGTAGGGTCATTCATTCCGTGTCACTTATCACTACAAGCAGAACCCTGCCTCTACTTTCGTTCATTTTCTTACTAACAAAAATCGCTGCCTTCATTTCTGAAGCAATTTAACTCATCTCTGAGTCTTGGATAACGCGACTGAGAGTTAGTTGAAGTCACACTTTGCTTCAGCCAACAAAAAGCCTGAGAGGAATCAGGGGCTGCCAATACTCTTGGACACCACGCTCCCTCCTGGAAACCAGGAGGTCCACGTGACTTGGACCACGCGGGTCCCACGCTGCAGCGGCTGCATCGCTCTACTCTAACCTCTTGATAGAGGCACGGAAGATCAGGGCTTTCCTGGGTCACCGCCGAGACCGCGGCACAAAGGCCCCGCAGACACTCCCCTGGCGAAACCCCACACACTCCCTCCCTGCCCGGAACCCTAGGCTTGTGGGGGCCGAGCTTTGTGGTCGACCCTCCCGGCCTGCACCCCAAGTCCGGGACTTACAGCGCCTGTCGCCTTGGCGAACTTGTTAGCCACCTCTGACAGTTGGTTATCGCGCAGGAAGCCGAGCACTAAGGGATACAGGTCGCTAGGAACCACGCGGCGCAAGCCGGCGTCCGCCATCCTCCAGGATGCACGCGTCACTACGGTTGCCGACGCAGTACGATTCAGAAACTTGGGAACCTGAGGGGACGGGCTCCCGTGACGTCATTGAGCCGCGCGGGCGCATGCTGAAAAAAAATGTTTTGCAAAGCGGAACCGCCTCCACCTCGGAGGCAGGGTCAAAGCGGAATCTGCAAATCCCTTCCGGTCCTCCGCGTGTCGCCAGCCTGGTAAGGGCGGAGTCCGCCGGCCGTCACTTTGCGGGGGCGGAGCCCTGACGTCAGGAATCACGCCCTCAGCCGTGGCGGGAAAACTCCTGCCTTCTGTTGGAGGTCCTTTTCAGTTTCCCGCGTTTCAGCTGGGATTCAGATTACAGGGTAATGAGTGAACCAGCCTGCTAGACCTGTCTAGACTTGGTCACAAGACCTTCCTCTTCAACAGCCCCCATTCTCGTTGCAGGTTAATTTTCACTCTTCATCTTCACTGCCTCCAATACTCAGGGAGGCTCTTTCTCAGATCCCACTCCAGCCTCCAGACTCCCATGTCCTCAACAGAAATTCAAGTCATCCGTGGTCAAGGTGTTAAGTCTCCAAAACTGCCCCTGTAGTGACTGCCCTTGTACTTCCCACAGATTGACAACACATGCTTCTCCCCCAAATTACTCACCCTTAGGTCAGCTCCACCAAGGAAAATCGGTAGTGCACCAAACCTCTGAATCAAAGCAATCCCTTCAACCCTTACTCCCAAAAATAAAGCTTTTACCTCTTAGATCAGAGCTCACAATGCACTCTATGGGAGAACTAGGGAACCCCTCCCTTTGTCATGTATAAGTCCAGTACCAACGCCCAGGTCTACCAGAGAAATTCCAATTTCTGACATATTCCAATCCATATTGGCAGATGACAGCAATCCCTTCAATCCTACACACTACCCCTTGATTTCTTCCCCTCAATGCATCCTCAGGAAGAGCAAGAATGCACTTCACGGATTTCCTTTCCCTAAAGAGGCACTCCCCCTCCTAGTTCTAACTCCAGCAGCTCAGTCCTCCCCAGAGAGAAGGTGGCCCCATCTGTCCACATACATGCATTCTTTAAACACCTGACTGCTGCGTTCCAAGAACTGTGCTCAATCTAAAATGGTGTGATGGTGCAAGAACAGAGTCCTAGTTTAAAGAATCTATATTTGGACCAAGTGTGAACTTCCCCTACATCCTTGCTGGAACAACATCCCCTTGCTAAAACCGTAGAATCTCAGGCCCAACTCCAGAAAAATAAAGTTAGAATCTGCATTCTAAAAAAATGTCCAAATGTGGGGCTGTAAAATGATACAACCACTGTGGAAATTGGTATGACGATTCCTTAAAAAGTTGGAGAAATACCATTTGACCCACTAATCCCCTAGGTATATATCCTAAAGTGAGAGGCAGGACACTAGTAGATATATGCACACCCACGTTCATCACAGCACTATTCACAATAGCAAAGAAATTATAATCACCTAAGTGGCCATCAACTGACGAATGAATTAACAAACTATGGTACATACACACAATAGAATACACAAACCTAGAGAATAACATAGAATCTGCAAACCACCACATAATGTGGATGAACTTGGGGGACATTAAGCTGAGTGAAATAAGTCAATCACAGAAGGACAAATATTTTATTAGCCCACTATTGTAAAAAGTCAAGAAAGGTTTATACATAGAAGGAAACTTTCTTTGTTGGTTACCAGGGATGGAAGGGGAAGGGAGGGAAAATTTCTAGATAGGTTGAGGGGGTAGGGAGTAATACATACACATACACACACACACACACACACACACACACATATCCTTCAAAGATTAGTAGTAGTTACCAGGGGCAGGAGGGAGGGGAAAAGGGGAAGCTTTTGTTTGGGGGGCACTGAGTTTACGCTAATAGGTGGTAGAATATTTTGGAAAAGGATAGGAATGATGGTGGCACAGCATGAAAAATGTCATCAATGTCTCTAAGCTATAAATGTGAAAGCTGTTAAGTTGGTGAATGTCCTGTGTAAGTTTTTACCACAATAAAAGTGAAAAAAAAAAAAAAAAACAAACCTCCAGATGATTCTAATGCCCTTTAAAGCATGAGAAGCACTGCCCCTGGTGAGTGATTTCACCCACAACACACTTAGGAGTCTAGTTTCAAGTCCAGTGGAATCATCTACCTGACCAGAGAGTGATCTTAGGAACTTAATGGCAGAGGTACGTCCCTGCTTATGTTCAGAGAGGAAAGAAAAAGCGAGTGTAATTGGCAATAGAACCATATAAAGAAGCACAATCACACTTGAGAATTCTCTCTAGTTCATGTTTATTAGTCTGCATAGTGACTTACTTAGACGTTCCAAACACTGGGGAACCCCTCAGCCCCACCCATCTTACATAGGAATGCAAGTTACCTTGTTTCAATACTTCTTATAAAAAACAAATAACCCTTAAAAAAATCTGATTTCATACATTTTTTTTATTTCACTTTTTTCCATTTCTTTATAAAACAGTCATCTCCTCACTAGCAGCTCTCTCCCCTAGAGTGGGGGAGGGGGACGGAGGAGGTTGGGCACCTCCAAAGAAAAGAGGGAAGGAGAGCCCAGGGTTACCTCCGGAGGTTCTTCTGGGCCTGTTTCAACAATGTGTCAAAGTCAAGAGAATCAAATTTGCTCTTTACAGGGGCAGGGTCAAAGTCTTCCCGGTTGGAGTCTATAGAGAAAGACCAAATGTCAAGGTTCAGAGATCTCTGACCATCACTTCCCAACCACAGGGTCCTCAAATGGATAGCCATCCCAATAATGACTGGAGCTAACAATGCACAATTGCCCTGATTTTAGGTCAAAGAGACACAAGAACCCCATTTTTCATCTCTTCCCACCCCTTAGGTTCTTCATATGTTAGATGAGGCTAAGTCTGCCTAGCTGGCACCACACTCAAAGGGCTGGAAACCTTTCTACAGAGGGGATGAAGTATGCCAAACCATGAGGCCCTCTCTCCACTCACCAAGGTCAGAATAGCTCCTCTTGCAGAACTGCCTGCGGCCACCAAAGCAGAGATCAAAAGGCTGCTCATCTGCCTGCCGCAGCTTGTGACCACTCTCAATGGCTGCAAATGCCTCCTCAGCATAACGGTAAGTGACGAAGCCGTAGTTGTCACTGGTGGGGAGGGTGAGGCAGAGGCTGGGGTGGCCATTTGGGCACATATCATGGACAGGTGACAGCATCCCAGGATACAGAAAGAGTCTGGGGTGGTTCTTCCCATTCCCAAAATGGCCAACCCTCTGATTGCAGAAATGAAAGTGCTCTACATTGCCCAGCACACCAGAGCAAGGGGGAAAGATGAAGACATATCAAGGTAGCTAAATAGGGCAGAAAGGACATCCTGACCTTAAAGCCCAAGCTTACCCTTGGACACGGAAGTGGATGGTGCATTCCTCAATCTCTCCGAAAACAGAAAACCTCTGTTTCAGCTCTGACCGAGTCATGCGGCCAGGTATCTTCCCAATAAAGACCACCCTTCTCTCTTCCTATGTTAGGGCAAGGAAAAAAGACCCACAATGAGCCAGGACCACAGCTGCAGTCGGGTCTCTGAGCTCACGGCTCAGGAGGAAACCCCTCTTCCCATGACCTTTTCCTCTACTCACTATTGCACGCTCCTTCTGCAGCACTCTCTGCCTTTGGTAATGGTCATGTGAACGGTAAGAGCTGTACCTGACAGGAGGAGAAGGTGCCATCAGCTCCCTGGGCACAAGATAACTCAAGACTCAGAACTCGCAAGTGCCTGCCTCCCGGGCGCAGTGCCTCCCTAAACACATGCTCACCGCCGCCTCCTGTCACTTCTCCAGCGGGGGGATGGGGAGCGGGAACGGCTGTGAGAACTGGATGAGGAAGATGAGGAAGACGAGGATGAGGAGGAGGAAGAGGAAGAACATCTTCGGGAACGCCCAGAGGAACTGCAGCTGGACCTGGAGAATAAAGGGGCATGCAGGAATGCTAGAAGCAGTGGGGCCGGACTCCACTTACCCTGGCCCCAGCCCTGCCTCCCTGCCTGGAGGCTCGGGACCAGAGGCAAAGCAGAGCAAAAGACGCCTAGAAGAGCACTTTTCCTTCAGAGACGAACAAGCCTTCGTGGGAACTTCAGATCTATCTAGAACGTTTTGGCAAAGATCATACTTATTTTCAATTGTGCAAGTAGAAACTGAAAAATATTTAACTGTCAGAAAGATACCATAACAATTGATACCCAGAGATTAAGGGCTGGGCCCTAGGTCTCAGGGTCAGTTATCTGTGATGCTGAGGCTAGACCTGAGCCTCCGACCTGCTGCTCCCTTCCCATGTCTCACAAGACTTCTGTGACTGTGGCATAAAGGAGAGGGGACTGTACTAGACCTGTGCAGGGCCCATCTCAGAAGGTAACCACCACCATCAAAAACCAAGAATTCTTCATTAAGTGGGAAAACTTGGGTCCATCATTAAAAGTAAAGACACATCCAGGAAATACAAGGCCACAGTGACACCCAAAGGAACTGCCCCAGATGTTTTCCTCACTAGATTAAGGAATAGATGGTTTCCAGTTAACAATTAACCCACCATTAATTGTTAACAATTAACAATCTTCCCACGCCATCAGGAAAATGCCGTAAATAAGGAACAATATAGTACGTGAAAGAATCAATATGGTCAAGGTCAAAGCCTAAGAGTTTCCTCAAGGCAGGTCTCAAGGAGGCAGGGGACCTCAGGGATACCCCAACTCCACCAGGGAATGTAAGCTCTCTTCCCACAGCTTGTCTCCTTCAACAATCCAAGAAAGAAGACAAAAGCCAAAGACAGAAACAGAAACCTCAGTGCCTGAAAGTAAGCAACTTCTTGTGCAAAACCTTCCAAAAGAAACCCGAGAGAGGAGTTCAAGTAGCTCCTGAATGGAGAGGACCTAACAGGCCACCAGAGCTCACCTTCGCCACCTCTTGTGTGGGGGGGAGAGGGACCTGGACCGGGATCGGGATGAGGAA